ATTCATAAAATGTATTTATTTTTTTAATATACAACGATCAACTTAAAAGAAATCTCAACCAGTTGTGTATATTGCAGTATACTTTTTGTTAAAATATATAAATATATAATTAAATAAAGCCACAGGAATATATAGTATTAATATATCTATTAACAAATATGTTACTATTAAAAAATACAAAAAATCTAAACCTAAAAATTATTTAATGATAATTTTTTATCTTACACTAATTTGTATTTACTATTAACGTATATATGTATATATATATATATATATATATATATATAATATTAATATATTATCGTTTACAAATGTTTTAATGGGTTAAAATATTTTAACTAAATATTGTGATTATAAATTATTCTTATTGTTACGTTGATAAAAATAATAAGTATTAAATACACATTTAAAACTAAAGCCAATAATGAATGAGAAATCTGTTAAAATTGTTTGAAAAAATAAAAAAAGTAATCTATTTTATACTGTGCACATAAACGTATTGATTCGAAATTCCGGCTTTATATCAGGTAGTTGGACATTAGGTTAATTGACAAATTGCAGGAAACAAAAACCGGAAATAATGTTAGATTACCATTATCTAAAACCATTATGGTACCATACAGACTAACAAACTTTTAATACGTGTACCAATATATGAATTACTATATAAAAATATAGTGGAATGCTATTTGCGTAGAACATAGGTTTGGATAAATTTTCTCAGTGTAAGAAAATAATAAAATGTAAAAACCTTAATAAATTAAACATTATTCTATCAATCCTATAAATGCAAAAAGGCATATCTGCTTATCAAAATATTAATATTTACAACAATAATAAAAATAATATAGGTACTACCGAATACCAATAAAAAAAAAAAAAAAATCGGTTATTATTAAAATAGCTATACGGATACTATTTAATGTTGTGCTATTGTTACATATGGTCAGCTTTAATTTAACACAATTCAAATATAACAATTTTATGATCAACATCGTGTGGAGTCATTAAGTTAAATAACACAAAAAAGATTTTACTGCCTAATAAAATTCTACTCGAGGCATTTCAAAATCGTTAAAATTTATATCGGCCAACTTTTAATCGTTATCGTTATAGACTTAAAGTTTAAAAATTACGATAGTAATAAAACACTTTTTGAAGATGCATTTATGGAAAAATATCCTAGAATATGACATACGTTACGTAGTACATATCTACTATGGATATTTATAGTATAGGTAAAAATATTCACAAAAATATTTTCTATGATTTTTATACATTATAGATGTTATGTTAAATAATAATTCAATTGAACAATGTACAATATTTGAAATTTATCTTAAACTTCAACACTATTTTATTAGTTTTATTATAAATGAAGATTTAGTTTATTTCAAAGGTCATAAGTATTATAAACAAAATATTCGTGTTAATTTAAAATTTGTTTGAAACATATATAAAAAAATAATTCGGTATTTTTACTATCATGTTGGATATTCATTTTTATTGATTATAATGAATAATTAAAAAATAAATAATCAAATACTTGAACTATGATCATTAAAAACCCTTATTTGAACATAAGAGGTATATACGAGTATAATGTAAACTACGACATAATTATGTTTTATGAAAATTACCTAATATTTGTATCGTGTATTATTTAATTTTATGTTTGTTATTTTCAATAATAAAATAAAAATTATAATTTCAATTATAAATTACAAGATAGTAATGATACATAAAACGCATTATATATATTGTTTTCAATGAAAAGTTGAGTACAAGTAATCGTAATTTGTTTGCGTGGTTTTCCTTTTACATCTTGCTTCTAACAGTAAACGCCCATATTCGTGAATAAATTGACTCCCTGCATTTTTATTATAAATATATAAATTATACATGTATTACTGATAAAAGTCACGCAAAACCTCAAAGGTAAAATATGAACACCCCGTTGTTCTTGTAGTGATAAATTGTACCTATAATTATTTACTGCATATATATTATATAAATCTATAATTCCTACTTCTATATTCTAAATTATGCACTAACACTCATTGAGCTTTAATAAAATATTATAATATATTTGTACATAAGCAGTTGTGGTTTTATGGGAGGGGGTCCAGGGGGTCTGACCCCCCCCCAGGTCACGCATTTAGGTCGTGATATATTATATTTTATAATGTTTTGTACTTAAATGCATTGCTATGTTTTTTTTGTTAGAGTAAGAATTACATTTTATGACTTTAGTTTGGTTGCTAATGTTATCATTTAGTTAAGCAAATGTGATCAATCATACAAATAATAATAAAGAAATATAAAGTTTGAAAACATGGCAAACAAATTCAAAGACATAAACGTGTTTTAAAAGTTGAAGTGATACACATTAGAGTCATACAAATTCAGTACTTAGAATTTTAATTTCCTTTTTTTTTTTATTGACTTTTTATTAGAATCTGTACCTGTCTTATGTAGTATTTAATAAAATACAGACTGTATCAAATGTAAGTAACTACGAATAAACGAAATTAATAAATTAAAATAAACAACAGGAAGGCATGAAGAGCGATATTATCCGATGATAGAAATCTTCAAATTAAATATTTTCATTATATTCTATCAATACTTGTTGACAAGTAAAACAGCACCAAAAATCTTACGTGTACTACATAAGTTAATAAAATTGGATTCCAAAAATACTGTTAATTAAGCTATTTTTCGATTTTTACTTAAATTGTTCAACTTATTTTGTTACTTTATATTAATTACTCGTAAATTAATTAATTTTAAAATAATTAATTTTTTTTTCAAACCATTGTGGGTTTTTTTTTTTTGACAAACGGTATTTTAATAAAATAAATAATATTGTGTTTAGATAATCATACTATTAATTATATGTTTTAACTTATGATAAATAACATTATGGGTAAAAAATTAGGTTTTCACTTTTATTTATTGTTAAAGTTTTGAGCTTAAATTATTTAACTGTGTACCTTACTGATCATTTTTACGACTATCCAGTATTATTTTTTTTTTACCAGTACAACCTTTAAAAATAAAATAAAATTATAATAATTATATATATATATATAATATTTGTATATAATAACTAAACGATATACGTAAATAATACTGTTTTTAAATTATTGATGATCTTTTTATTTTTCTAATACGAGTTGTAAATTAAAACCTTCTCTGAGAATCAATCAATCCATTGGTAATATCTTTACTGAAAAGTTCAATGAATAATTTTCGAAATATGCCCTTACAGACAAAAATGACCTTTTATTTTATGTATAAAGATTTGAAAATTATTGCTAAACAAATTACTATTCAATTTATAAAATGTACGCAAATATGGATGACGTTCATCAATATTAATTATCTAAAATATTAAGTTTTAGTAATTTTTAGCATTTTTCAAACATTTTTCAGAACTTTAAGTATATCTACTATGTTACAATTATTAAAATAATAGTAACTGGTAACTCGTTTTGTTTCTTATTTTTATATCAGAATACCCCAACAAGATAGCCGATACTTTTGGAAAATTTTAAGTAAATGATTAGGATACTCTTTTAAGTGGATTATGGTTTAAAATTCTAATATTTTTGGAGGAATGACATGAATAATATCATAGAGGAAAAGTTGAACATTTTCGTTTGTACCACAATAACTTGCACTTGGAAAAATCCTCCAAACAATCATAGTGTAATAAACAACAACATGTAATGTTAAAATGTAGCGATAAACATGAAAAAATATAGGTATTATATCTCATTGATAATTGATTAAGAGTTTTTAATGTTATTGAACGAATCGTAAATTTAAATAATATTTCGTACAACGTTTGACATTAACATAACTCCACGATCTGCGATAATCAGCTGAATTATTATACGTATGTACCCACACAGCATAGATATATTCATTCAATATTTAATAAATATTTAACAAAAATTTAAATATTTGATAAAAGCGCAATATCCATTGGTTAGACATTTTTAAACATTAAAATAAGTATTATAAATGTATAAAATTTTAATTGTTCATTCGTTTTTAAATGTTTATTTTATGTTTCAGATTCAACACGTAAAATCGAATATATATTCAATACTGTATAAAATTTTTATTTTAAATATTTGAAATCCAATTATAATGTATAAATATTGTTTCAATCGTTATGATTGACAAATGCTGTACTTAATTTTTTATTTATTATTTCGGTATATATACTAATATACATTAATCCCAATGAACATAGGCGCAAATAGGGGAGGGGGGTCTTGGGGGGTCTTAGCACCCCCTATTTTACAATTAGCACCCTCAAATAATGTTCGTGTTTAGGAATCAAAAACTTATTTTTGTCATCAGATATTTGACTAATAGAGTATAAAACTGTAATGAAATATAAATGAAAACAATGTTACTCGACAAACGTCAATTCACATTTTGTCGAGTTCACCGAAACCCTAATTTAAATTAATTTTAAAACCGGAACCTTTGAAATCTGGACCTTTGAAATCGTACGGTTGTGAAGTACAACAATATTTCACGATCGGCTTCGATTTGTCTCCCCTTCCGGCCAAACGATCGCGCACTAACGAACAACTCCCGTAGATGTATTGGTGGCGTCACCTAGCAACGCGTTCCCGTGGACAGATCTTTCGGTACCGCTCGCGCGACCACGTCGGATAGAGGTGCACGAAAGCGTCGCCGGGACCACGTGTTGCCGACAGATGGCGCTGACAGGTTGCGCGGCGTACGGTCACGTGTGGCCCGGGTGTCTTGCGCCTGTCACCGTCCGCGGTCGCGCGACCGACGTCGGCCGTCCGTAAGCGCGTCCGGTCTCGGTTGACCGTTTTCCCATCCCGTCCCGGCACGGCCGCGGGACGAATGCGGAACGCTCGCCGAACACCGTTACCGCGGGTCGCACGCTGCCCGGCACGCGCACTGGTCCCGGTACACATATACCGGACGAATGCACCGCGACCAGGTACATCCTTGATCTAGGGGAGCGGTACGGTCCGTGATCGTATAGTGAGCTCGTACTGCTGACACCCGTATAGATAATACCCGTGCTCAGCGACCTACGGGCCGTTGCGGCACAATTTTTGGACGTCCCTTTACTTTACAAGGGACCATGTCGAAGCCGTGTGCCCCGTTACTAGAGAATGGCACGTCGATAGAAAACGCGTTGATGTTTAAAACGTGTGCGGGTACTAATACCTAAATCTTATAATGAAATTCGTATCGAAAGAAGTTTCGACACTTTACTAGTATCGGTTATATCGCATCGTCCCTAACCATTGCCGTACCCGTTCGCAAATCGTTGCCAACCGTTGGATAATTATCGTACACATACGATAATTCGGGCCATTTGTACGATATACGGAATCGTACAAGGAATTACACTACTGGATGATAAAATACGATTACTTCACTATCTTACGGAAGAAAAAGAAAAACGGTAATTTTAAGGTTTTTTTTCCTTCTGATATTTAAATTGTTAGTTCGATCGACGATTAAAAATAGCATTATCTATGTCTGTGGGTTTTATCTTACCGTTAATTATTATTTTTGTTTATTACTACCACTAACAACACTATACCTATAATTCGAACACTGTCTCTATGTTAACCAAAACTGTAGAAAACATAAAATATTATCGATTGAAACTCATAGTTGAACCACAGAAATACAGAATTTATAAAATGATTTAAGCTATTTTATGTTTTAACTATTGACAAGCAGGTATCACATATTATTCCGTTATTATCATCCTAGTTGTGAATCCTGCGCCTTGCATTTCTACACAATATGACACAACATGAAACGGCGAGCTGTGAACCCACCTTTATCATAGTATTTATAATATTTCCAGCGAAGGGAAAAAAACAATTTGTATACGATAATTATTCACTAGATATTATAATTTTATTGATGGTGTACGATAAACCTATAATAAGAGGTTGACAATGTAACGTACCCCGGAAGCGTAGGTAAATTTGGTAAATTTGATATGTAAACAATTATCCATAATCTTTGTTTAAACTCAACAACGCCAATAATTTTACAACGTCGTAATGTTTTTTTGCATTAGGCCACACCAATCTTTCCGAAAAATGTTCATGAAATTATACTAAAGAATGGAAAACAATAGGTGAATACACTCCGAGAGTGATGAATTTAAATATTTAATACATATAATCAATATCTACACTTTTTTTATTATACAAACACACCGTACGAATATTTAAATTATTCGTTTGAATAATACATCAATACTAATATTGATAAAATATGTACATTGCATGTGAATAAATTTAAACATATTCGTTGTAATGTTTTTGTAACAAAACCAAAATAAAAATATATTAAAAATACGCCGTAGAAAATAATTTTTTGAACTCATGACTTATAGGAACTCGTATCTAGACTAAATAAGAAAATAAATTACAATAATTTATATAGGATTTGAATACATTAATGAAATGTAAAATCTACATATTCGAAAATTATATTCATATAACCATAGAATATTATTGTTTAACTCAACATAATATGTACCTACCGGTTTTTGTTTACAAAATAAATTACTATATTATGCCTATGTAAGCAAATGTAAATAAATTATAGTATAGTATACTTACGTTAAAGTATCGATCAAATATTTCGATGGTAATTTAAAACGATGAAATGTACGGCAGAATAATTATTAATGTTCGGATACAAAAAACATAGGTACCTTCGTAAAACCATTAATTAGTTTTTTCCAAAGATGTTAGTTTTTGCGCGTAGTCCCGAAGACTACGGTCGAAGTGCACGCTGGTACTTGAGTATTAAGTAGAAACCAATACAAACCGTGCAATGTAAACACTCTGCATTACCATACATCAGGCAAGAAATGAGTTTTGTGTATTATATGTAGATAATAACATATATTATACTAAACCAGTTTCATTTACTCGCAAATCAAATTTATTCGATTGCACAAAAAATAACTTACCTTTAAATAATTCCCGATGAAAAATAATTAGGTACATATGCAACTCCTGCGATCATGAACTATGATGTGAAAACTATCATAGATGCATCTATTATTATGATATTTAGATCAGTTCAAAATAAAATAGTTTCATTAGACTACAGACGTTTGAATCGCTACGACATTATGAAAGTAGGTGAAGTTAGTAAATTAATTTTTCCATTACATAGATCAGAAAATAATTGATTTAAATACTGTTTAAATAATGATGAAACTATATGACTTAAAAAATAACTTAAGTAACTTAAAAAATAGTTATGTTAATATTATATCACGTTCTGTTATTCAATTATTTGTAAACAATTGTGTAACATGTTTAAAAAAAAAAGGAGAAATTGTTAACTCTATGGTATTTAATGCACATGGACAGGTCGATTTAACCGATATGCAGTCTTGAAATGACGGAGGGTACAGATTTGTATGTCAAAAATTGTATAATCGTGATTAAAATTTGAATTTTAAAAGAAAATTTTACAGTTCGCGATGTATACAAAAGTCACTATACACAATGAAATATACAATTCCGGACTTCGTAACTTTGTATATTGTATTATGTACTGGTTTAAACGATTTTAAAGAAATTATTTGTTTAGCACAAGCATAATAAGGGGACTTGAACCTTTAAGCTTTTGTGTGAGCTTAAGCCTCCACTAGAATTTTATCCCTTTTCAAATTTAACTTCCCTTACATTGGGGGTTGTCATTTTTTTTTTAATTCAAACCAGATTGAGTATCAGAAACTGGTCACTTTTAATTAAATATTAATTTATTCTTATGGCTTTACATCGTAAACGAATCTACATTTATTATAACTCGGTTTAGATTTAAAGCCACTGTTCTTGTACATTTTCAGCCTTCTCGATAAAATTACAGATGGTTGGCAATCCTGCACTTTAATCAATGTTTACGTAAACATTTGTATGTAGCATAGTTTTTTTATTTATGAAAAAAAATCCCTTCCTTTTCTCTATCTATATTTATAATTAATAATTTTACACATTCGGTATGAAAATATACACGACTAATATGCTACTGACCGCTAGCCATACCAATTTCAGTACGAGTGTTAAATTTATATTCATGAGAATTTATTTTCTGAGGGCCAATATGATTAGTAGAGGTGGCTATAGTATATGAATAAATCTGTCCGGCGAATGAACAATTTTCCGTCGTTTTTATTCATTGTTTTTATTCAATATTATTAAACAATATTTATAGAATTCGAAAGCCGTTCTTCTGTGACAAAATTATTAAGAATTATTAACCATAGTATAGCGTACGTATACTAATACCTATACGTATACCTAATCCCGATAAATATGCGAATACATGAGTAAACAGTTCTCAAGCATAAATTTTATAAAAAATTAAAATGCATTTGACTTAAAAAACTGAAATTTCTCCTGAATTCAATCATAATTACTTAAATTTATACTATTGTAACACACCAACTGGTTTTTCCAGTTATATTCACCGCATTTATCATGTGAATGCATATTATCTCACTAATGTGCATTCATATATACGCATTCAAAATGCATACATAATTTGTATACAAAATAAGGTATAAATAATGCAAACCGTGTTTAGAAATTTAACAACAGTTTTCTCAACAAAAAACTTATTCTTATTTATTTAAGTTAAAGTAGCATAACAATTTTTGTTAAGTTATAAAATATTTTAATTGTGTTCAACTATAATGTAACATTTTAATACCAACTATCTATCTTGGTAAGGAAAACTCAACGCTAATATGAAATAATACGCTGATACACAAAATTTCCAAAATTAAAACACTGACGAGCAAAAAAGAAATTAATCGATTGATTTTGTCTATGTACACATTTTTTCTACGGCCGGCCCTGTTTATTTCCTATTAAATTTCTAATTTCATCGACCATTGACAACACGCATTGTACAATTCAATAACGAGTAACTTTGAAAAAATGTTATTTTAATTTAAATGATGACGTTCGTAATTTGTACCTTAATTAAATATTTCATTTTTTATGTTTTTCTAGAATTTCCGGAGCTCTTTACTTTTAGATGATGGCAATTATAGTAAATAATTTATAGTGGACCATGGTACTTTAATTATGAGCACAAGCCATGAGAATAGTTAATTAATATTCAAGTAGAACAATGAAAACCTTATAAGGAGATACCATAAACAATTTTAATACGTGTGAAGTGCTAGAGCATGTATGTATGTACATAATTTAGACTAAAAAACTAAAGTAATAAAATTATACAATAACACACGAGTACAAGGAATTATTTAAATTAATATTTTCATATTAAAAATACAGATATATTGAGGTAATTAGAACTTAAACGTTCAATCAAATGATCAAGAACAGAGAGAACAGTTTACATTTTATTTTTCAGAATACTTCAGAATATTTCAGAAAAATCCCTTAGAAAATATATAAAATCCTTAAAGTCTTAAAAGTGAAGATTTATTTTTATTTTGTTTGATTTTTTAGTTAGAATTTTATAGTTTTTTTTTTTTAATAAATATTTTTGCTTAATCTTAAATTTTTTAAATACTTATTTTAGTGTATATAATGATGTTTTTAAGTGCTTATTTTAATGCTTAATTTAAGTGCTATAAGTCTCGAGCCCTGCTAATTACTAATCTCATGTATTTGGATAATTTGACATCTGAGCATCTTGAATTACCTTTAAAACGTCCAATTTGGTTTGCATGCGCAAGTGTTCGGGTATTTTTTTAAAGTCTTTTACCAGAGACATAAAAAAAAGACGATCTTCGTCGTCTTCAACATTTTTCTTTTTTACATTTTTATTTAAAATCCCTATTAGCTCTTTACCAATGTCATAATTTTGATTTTTTTCATTATGTTTTGATCTCCGCGAGATTGAGGATGAAGGACGAGCAACTGTATGTTGACCTTCTATCATTTCATCTTCATCTTTTATTTTTGTGTTGGAAGTAATATTTTTAGTCTTTGAATTAACTGATACCGTATCTTTTAAAAATAAAAGGCTGTTGTAGAAAACATAGGGGCATTTTTTTTTCGCCGCAGAACCGCTTTTAGTCGTCATTGCTTTATGAGCCTTTACAAAACAATCACGTATATTCCGCCATTTCTTCTGAAGAGTCACGCCTGAAAAAATTATTGTTTCAGATATTTGACAACAGGTTCCAGATAATAAATAAAATGTATATTATTTAATAAAACAGTTAGTTATTTATTTTACATCAGTTTTTTTTTATTTTACTGTTTATTTTTTTATTTGTAGTAATATTGAAACGTTATATGATACATCAATAAATTTAAGTTTATTTTTTCATATTTGTATTGAAATATAATTAGTTTCTACGAACTGAACGTTGATTGATTATTTTTTAAATTTGTTTTTTGTTTTATATAAAAGATAATTTCTAAGTAAATAGGAAGTTATTAATAATTATTTTCTTTAAGTAATCTAGAGTTTGAGGCCCCCCCCCAACTAAATTTATTAAGCTCCGCCTATGCATGCATCTTATAGAATCAATTTTGAAAATTATTTTAAAAGTAAGTTCAGGACTTTAGTTTCCTAAACCTGATATATTAACAATTATTAAATCTATTCAAGCACTGAGTTCATTAATATTTATGAGAATTAAAAGTGAAATATTAATCATCAAGTAATGTATTCTATAATAAATTAATTAAATACTAACAGAGTTTTTCCTTTTCGTCCGCTGATAATTCAGCACCATAAATATTGGCCACTTCTTCCCATTTTCTTTGTTTTATATTTCTGTCAGAATAATCTGAGCGCTTCGTGTTCCAAATTGATTGACGTTTCTGGATTTCAATAATAAACTGTTTTGTATCAAACTCCATAGTTTAAATTTCGTCAAAATGTTGACCAATAACAAACGCGATGACGCCGATAACACGATCGACCGCAAACCAACCGCTCAGTGCGTACACTGATCGTACGGTCAGCCGTCGAAGCGGCCGCAGCGATCCAAGCGACCGAAACGGTTCGCGGGCAGCCGCAACGTAGTGCGAATACAATTTTTTGGATATACAGAATTTACGTACAGTCTATCACTTGCGGTCAACCGGACGGCTGGCAACATTTACGGGCAGCCGCATAGTCATAGGCGCAACTGGGGGCTTATCCTCGTTGGACCAAAATTTAGCCCCCCCCCCCCATAAATATCCCATGTTAATTTCAGATAATACTTGTTCAATTGCATTATTTTGTCATTTGAAAAAAGTATTGACTATGAATGTTGTACGAATTGAGTATTGAGAGTTGACTATGGATGTTGAATAAATGTAAAAATTCAAAACGGTTTGAAGTAAAATTATAGATAACGTGTTATCGGTGATAAAAATATACCGACCGAAAAATATCTAAATTTAGATTGTGACTGTGGGTTTTATATTATGTGATATTTCTTGTAATCGTTAAGCGGCCCAAACACGTTCAAGATTACTGAAAAAATATTGACGAACATTGACGATGACCATCAACATATCAATATTATTGAAAAATTATTAAACATAATATCATTATCAAATTACCAGGTCCGTTATAAAATAGTAAATCAGATTTAAACTTGCTTTAAACAATTTATTCATTTTAATTATAAACAATTATGTCTGATAATTTAGACAATACTATACTAGCAAATAAAAAATATAGTACAATAATATACTATACTATACAATACTAGCTCTTGCTCTAGCTATTTCTTTTCTTAATAAAAGGAAGAAAAAACGGAAGCAGAGGTTTTGGGCTAATGAGAGATTGCAAAAGCGAAATAAATATAATTGTGAAAATCTGTTATCTGAGCTACGATTAAACCAACCTGAAGACTATTGAATTTTTATTAAGAATGAACGAGTCATACTATGATGAACTTTTAACTTAAGTTACTCCATTAATAAAAAAACAAAATACAATAATGCGAGAATCGATTTCAGCCAGCCAAAAACTTTCCTTGAATCTGCGTTACTTAGCCACTGGTAACACATTTGAAGATCTCAAATTTATTTTTATTGACAGTGCGTCAATAAAAATCAAATATTCTTTTATATTTCTTATATATTTTTTTAATCAAGTATCCTTCAATACTGCCAGTACACGATCAATATTATTGACAGTATCAAATGTACAGTATCGTGTATGGGCCGCTCAAGACATGTATTATTGTATTGATAGATTATTCAATAACGCGAGCACTACCTGTTTTCTAATATTGAGTTTGGAATATATTTTGCAATTATACTAGCTTCACCTGGTTCATTTTGTCGATTGTCCTTGTTTGGTTATTTTTATTTTTTCATTGGGAATTTATTGCTATAAAATGAATAATAATGTTTTTTAATATTTTTAATAATAAAAAAAGAGAGTTCAACAAAACACTGTTGACAGTTTAGTGATTGAAAATACTCCTACAATAGATAACTCAATTGCCCGTATTCATGAGCGTAGTTTGGTATTACAGTAAAACTCGCCTAAGACGCTCTTTAAGGGACCAGCTCCCTAGAACTTCTTAAGCGGGAAAGCGTCTTATGCGGGAATGAAAAAAAAAATGATGTGACTGAAATATTGAGTTTTTTTTTTATTATTAAACATAATTTAATGGGAAATATACTTATAAATTAATTATAATTACAATATTCATCTATTTTTGATTGTTTAAGGTTAGATTAGGTTAGGTTAGGACAATGTGTTTCAGAAAGAAATTTTTCAATTTTATTAAGACAACCTAACATTTCTTCGGAATTTTCAACAGAGGATAATACTTTCCGAATTTCCGATAGGTGTTGCAAACTAGTAGTAATTAAAGGAGTAGATAATGGAAAGTCTTGATCTTCTTCTTCTTGATCGTTGTCTTCTTTCTCATTCTCCACTAAGTTCGTATCAGCGTTTATTTCATCCAAAGTCCGAGTGCTACTGGTTACGAGTTCATCATCTATTGTTGCATAATCAGCAAAATTTTGCAGAAGTTGAAAGTCCTCTTCTTTTAAAGTTGAGCTATTAGCCTGTTCAGAGTTGTTCAACACACCAAATTCAGCTTTCCGAAAACAGTTTATTATTACATCTGGTTTAATTTCATCCTAAGCGGCACTGATGTAATGTATGGAGTTCAAAACATTAACTTTAGTTGAAATTTGGTCGGTACTCTCCATGTCTCACAAATACCTTTGAACTAACTTTTTTCGGTACTTTTGTTTTATCACTTTCATGATACTTTGATCTAGGGGTTGTAACTTAGATGTAGTATTTATTGGAAAGAAAACAAGTTTTATATTAGTGGGGATTTCTTTAGGGTGAGCCAGACAATTGTCGACGAATAGAATAATTTTCCTCTTTTGTTTACCGAAAAGTGCATCTAGCTATTGAATCCAGTTCATGAATAGTGTTCCTGTCATCCAAGCACAACTTTGAGCAAGATATTCACATGGAAACGTACGAACATTTTTGAAACAGTGAGGAGACCTACGTTTTCCAATGACGACCAACTTCAATTTATGGGTGCCGGTAGAATTTGTACATACTAAAACCGTGAGACGTTCCTTGCTCAACTTTCCACCATGGCATGTCTCATTTTTAAAAACAAAAGACTTATCTGACATAAGCTTAAAAAATAATTCGAAATCATCAGCGTTGTATATATCGTTAGGAGTATAATCACGCAGTAATGAAGGCAACACGTTATTTTTCCATGAAGCTATATCATCATTATTAACAGATTCAGTCTCACCTGAAATTTGCCGGTACACAATGCCATGCCTACTCCGAAATCTATCCAGCCAACCAGTCGATCCACTAAATTCGGTTAAGTTAAGACGTGCGGCAATCTCCATTGCCTTTTCCGTGATTACACCTCCATTTATTGGATAATTTAAACTGCGAGCTTGTTGAAACCACTCCAATAAAATATTTTCCAACTCTTCATACTTCCCGTGTTTTAATTTTTGTCGTTTGCTGCCACCTAACATGCTGCTTTGTTCTATTTCATGTCTGTTTTTCAATAAAGTTCTTAAAGTAGAAGGAGGTATCCCCAGTTCATTAGCAATATCCTTTTGTTTTTTTTTCTCAATCAATCCTTCATCGTACTTCTTCAAAATGTTAAGTTTGTCCGAAATCGATAGCGCTTTAGGTTTTATACCACTAGCCATAACGAAATGACGGTTATACACATGTGAACGAACAGCACTTACTAAATCTCATAATACGATGAAATACAGTAAAACTGTTATAATAAGTATTGATAAAATAGGTATAGCGATAAAATAAAACGATAAGAACACGTATAATACTAAAAATTCTATTTTTATTTCACAAAACTACTAAAATTTATCGTAATATGCTGAATAAAAGAGCGTTTTACCCGATTAGACTGAGAAAAACTGAGCGTCTTAACAGGTGATTTTTAAATTGACTAGTATAGGAAATGTGTAGGGAACGACGAAAAACAGCGTCTTAAGCGAGTTTTACTGTATTATCAGTGAGGGCCATATTATAGGACTAGAAAAATGTATTCCAAAAACGTCTTATCTTTAGTTTGAATTAAATGATTGAGAACATTTCCTAGAAAAAACAATTTATATGTGTCTCATTCTTTACCTGACATTTTATTTTACAATACATAAAAAAAAAAAAACAATTAATGTTGAGTTATTAAATTAAACTAATTTTTTTTTTTTTTAATAATTAATAAAATATCTTCTTTCAACAGTTAATTGTGTTTTGCCCAATTTTTCAAAACACTATCAACTAAGTGACAAAAAATTGTTACTGGGCAACATTTGTGTCGCCTAGTTAACACGTAAAAAAATGCACTGAATAAACATAAAAACATTTGTGACAACTGACAACTTTTGGCGGGAGACAAAATTGTAGTACAAATAATTTTAAGGAAAAACTAATATAAAAAATTTCAAAACATCGGTAAAACATCGATGTTTAGTCTTTGATTTATCGAACTTAAACCTTGATGTTTTAAAAACATCTATGTTTTGTGCCTACCTCTAGTACTTATATTTAGTTTAATTTGAGTTAGTCCTGTTTCCAAGTTCCCTAAGTCTAGCAGAAATGAGTCATTTAATGCAATTTCAGAATTCTCGGGTTAAATATTGTTAAGATCATCAGGTATTGACGAATTATTAATTTTAATTTTACTATTTATTAGACTCGGATCATCTACTGCAAAGTCTTCGTTGTTCCTTGTTGGTTTTCTTATCAATCTTTTTCTTTTTATTAATAATACTGAACATTTTTAAAAAAAAAAAAAATAAGAAATACAAGAAAAAAAGAAACAAAGATACCAAAATTAATTAAAAATGAATGAAATAATATGCTTTAAGGTGCCCACACATTGCTGCGGTACGCGATAAGGTATCGGTACGATAAAGTTGCCGGTAAAATCGTTCAAATAGTTTTCATAGGCATCGCACACACCGAACTAGACCGGTGCGCGCCTACGTTATTATTTGTACGGTACAATTAATAACCATACCCATAGATCTTAATGGGGGCTTGCACACTAGTGACATTTAATGCCGGTATGGTCTCAAATATCGTACCGGAGGACAGTTTCTGCACCGGTATTTTTAGAACGTTGTATGCACGATTTTTATGGTGTACCGGAACGGTAAAATTAATTATTAAATCAGTTTTAAAAATCATAGGTATTTAAAAAATCAGGGAATTTTACTCTGTTGTATAGTTTATTTTATATCTACTTCATGTCTTCATCATTGAGTAGTTGGATAAATTAATTCTAATTAAAATGATGCCACATCCGGGAAGGTACATTATCTGTGTTTTTTCTTAAGTTCTTTTACAATATTTTAATTTTTAAAACGACAGTTATTTTAGAGCTTTTTTGAATTGTAATATTTTACATACCAAGTCATAAACTCCTAAACTCGCTTAAAAATTGAGATTTTCTAAATAACTTATGAGAAAATAGAGATAATTCACGTTGAAATCGATAATAGATCAGATTAATTTGGTATTACAGCTAATATGTAATAACACAAAATTAGTACTGCTGAATAGAGATTTGCCATGCTATATGTTTGTAAGACGGAGACAAAACATGCGGAGTTTGTGATCTCATTGCCTATCCGTTAATGATAACTACTCATTACCTACCCGTATCAATAATATTCACACTTTTAAGATTATCAAATGCTATCATCTGTTCATCAGTTAATTCCAAAAAAATCTAGAATTCTGGGCATAATTTCTAAAAACTTGGATTTCTATAAATTGCCAGCTGCTCTTATCAGGTACGTAATACTTAAGTACCTACAAAATTTGTAAAAAACTATTCAACAACTTTTCTTTGTTCAGTAATAACTTGTTTTTGTAATAATTTGTCTTTTTACATTTTTTGGTAGGTGTGTTTTATTATATTTATTTTTTGAATTTTATAGGATGTCTATGTAGTGTGTCTATATATTCTACTGTGTTTGATACAAATAATTTAAACCTCAAAGTACAACATTTATGATGTTAATATACACAGACACAGTACAACTTCATATAAAATTGTTTATAAGTCTATAAATGCATAAGGTCCTTCCTGAAAATAATAACAGTTTTAATAATAATTGTAGAATCATAATACAATAATTTTAAATAAATAAATTTTAGTATCGTACCACAGCAGTGCGTTGCTTATTGTGCTGATAAACGTTCCGGTACGATATTTTCCCGTCAAGCTACGATGGTATAAATATCGTACAAAAAATAAAAATAAATTAGTATACCGTACCGATACCTCATCGCGTACTGCAGCAGTGTGTGAATACCTTTATAGTAAAATATAAGACAGACCAGATGTGTGTGATTAGCAGTACACGAGCAAACGACAAAGACAGACCAGTCACCTATTTCGAGAAAAATACCGATAAACAAATAATTATTATGTGTGTGTTCTATACAAATTATTATCCGTTATCGTTATATTATCATCGGACGACTCGACAATGCATGGCCAAGACAATCGCACAGGGTAAATCAGAAAAAAAATTAATACGACGTTGATCTATAAATAAACATGTTTGTGATAAAAATAAGTAGTTTTATGTATGTTAGTGCAATAATTGTCATACACAATATTGCTAATATTTAAAGCTTGATGAATTTTAGGAAAAATTATAAAAACATTTAAAACTAGAATTAATTAATTTTAGATAAAATGAGGGGGCTACAGCCCCCACAACCCCATGCATACTACGCCCAGACCCGTATTGAAACCATTGCATTTTTTGAGTGATTTTCACAGGACGATTTACTTTAATTTATGTTATTTCACTACTGTTTATGAATCTGTTTCAAATTGATATTGATACATTGATGGCCGAAATGACTGTTGTGAAAAATGAATTTAAAACTGAGCATCCTAAAAAAATATTGAATTATCCAATGCAAACGGCAAGTATCATAAATGAGGCTACCTTTCCAAATTTATACAAACTTCTTAGTGTTGCATTTACTTTGCCAATAAGTAGTGCAACTTGTGAAAGGTCATTTTTGGCGATGAGACGTTTCAAAACATGGATACGGTCCACAATGCTACAAGATTGAATCTCAAATTGTTCCATAATAAATATTAAGAGAAACATATCAAATAATATTGACTGTGAAGAGATTTTGAATACATTTGCTAATGCAACAGAAAAATTATATTATAAAGTTGACTATGAAAATATTTTTTATAGCTCATGTTATAGATAAACAAATTTGAATTAGTATTTATTGATTTATATTTAAATAGACTAATAAGATTATAGTATTAGGTATATAGAATAATGAGTAGTCTCTATTTTTATGTGACATACCACATATAGCATACTTAACTCACAATAGTGTCACATAAAAAAAAAAGACACATTGCAGTAAATCCAACTTGGTTCAGAATCTAAAATATGTTGTATATAAGAATAGGAATAATCTACATTACAAGTTTTGGTAGAAGAGCCTTAGCATAGTCTGCATGTAATGTTTACTTACAAATGGAAATTTCATTGAAAATAGTAAACAGTATGAATTATGTATACACATTATATCTCACAAGACTGGGCAAAATAACGGTTTTTTTTTCAACTTGTTAAGTTAAGTTAATATAAAAAAAAGTAAGTTAAGTTAAATTAAAAGTTAACTAATGTATTTTTAATAAATTCGTTAAGTTAAATATTAATGGATAAAAAAAATTAACTTAATTGAAAATGTAATTATTTTCGAATCTGTAACCAAAACCAATAAAATGAATGACAAATTTGGAATTTGTGTCAAGCTCATGTGGCCAACCATGTAGTATGCTAAGCAATATTTACTGATGATTTAAGGTGAGCAGTTGACGATTTTTGAATCAGAATGTTCAGAAATAATTTTTTCCCCATGAGTTATATTAATAATTTTAAGTAAGTAATAAGTAATAACGTGTGTCTCGGGATGTGTGGCGTGTGCGTGTCACTAGGTATAATGAGTTATGGTTTACAAGAAAACTAATTAAGTACACGAACGCGAAGTCGCGACGACTTCATAATATTATTACTATTATAATATTATTATTACCTAAACGTATATCAATGTATATGTCCAATGTCCTTTTTCATTATATATTATGAAAATGATATACATATAATTTTAATTGTATAAAATATACAAAATATATAGTAATGCCATTGATTAAATATACATATATATATATATTTAATCAATGGTAATACCCAATATCATATAACTCGTATTCATAATGTGTATTGTGTATAGACGTATAGTACTAAATACTAAATAGTGAATAATATATACTGTATGTATATTGTAATATTGTATAGACATCAACATTCAACATCAATAAACACAAATTTATTACTATAAGAAAAAAAAAATAGTTATAATTAGGTACTTAGTTATTATTACATACGGGTGGGTACCTATTACCTGGATACAGGCTATCCACTTAATACCTATACAGTAATCCCTCGTTATCCGCGAAGGTTACGTTTCAGCAAGCCTGCGCGGATAACGAATCCGCGGATAACGAGACCATAAATCAATGTTAAAAGGGAAGTTAGGTTTAATATTTTTTAATTTTAAAAATTTATTATTAATCAATTAATAATTTTTTAATTCCAACAACTAATTCATTTATTATCTATCGTATTGTTCCTTAATTTTTACGTATTTCTCGAACACTAGGTTCAATCATATTGTACGTTCTATCAAGTGACGCTACAGTATCACCACTTTTTAATTTGTCCAAATTTTCAATTTTTTGAACAAGTAATAAAACATTTCTTCTCCTTTTTATTGACATTTTACATTTAGAAGCCATTTAAAAATATTTTCACTACTAAATTTATTAACTGCTGTATACGTGTCGCGCACAAATATCATCTTACAACTGAACAATTGACGATTATTAATCGTGCAGGTATGCTATAGCAATATAACAACAATTATCTACAATTATTGTCAAAAATAAATTTCTACAGTGTTCGTGTAATAACGGTAAGACGTTATCGCAATCGCATTAAAAATATGTTATCGTGGACCCAATCGCGGATAATCAAAACCGCGGATAAAAAAAACGCTGATAACGAGGGATTACTGTATATATATTATATTGTGTAGGTATATTATATCAAACAACCTGTATTAATTATAAATTTTCCCATTTAATTGTTATGACATTATTATTTTTCAAGCCAACAATGAAAAAAAAAATCAATGGTTTATTTAAAATTTTAAATATAACTTAATTTTAAGAAATATATATATAATTAACTTGAAGTTAACACGTTAAATATGTTTAAAATTTAACTTGTTGAGTTAAAAGTTAGTTTCAAAAAAAAAGTAATGAGTTCCTTAACTTAGTTAATATTAACTTAACGTTTTAACTTAATTTTAATTTTTAACTCGTTAATGCTCAGCCTTGATATCTCACACATGTAATACATTTACCAAGCCCTCACAATTCCACTAATACGTTAAAGGTACAACCTACACTAATTTTTTCACTGTTTTTATTTTATATTCGGCCTCTTTGTCTAGTTTATTTTGCGTATGTTAAACAGTAGAAATAAAAATACAAACAAGTCATGATTCTGTAAAAGATTAATTATAAATAATTCATATGACGAAATAGATATCACCGCAGTACTACTTATAAATGTTTATGCCATTAATACATGATTTTATAATATGAAATTGATTATTATAATGTTATATTATACATAGAAATTACACTAAAATTCTTAAGATAGTACTTTCCGCTGTATTCTATATTTAACGTTAACTTATAAATGATTAACGTATGTAATAATGATTATAATGTAATTAACATAATTTCGTCAAATATAGTGGACCGCAAACATTTATTACACATTGTGGGCTTGTTTACATAGTTATTTAAGCCCCTACACATAACCTTCGTGGTCCCATTGTACATGACGCGCGGAAATAAAAATAAAAATCTGTGTAATTGCGCTATGTTATTTTAAGGCGAAAATGCAAAAATTACCACTGGTAACAGCTGATACGCAAAAATGCATTACCCCGGTAAGGCTAAATTGAAAACGTAAAATCGTGAGTGGACCTATGCCAAAACTCTAGAAATAGACTGTTTTGTTTGTCGGCAGTTTAGTTTGTGTTCGCGTTCTCTAACCTTCAAACCATACAACAGGTAGTGTCACAAAGTACACAGTTTTACTTTGAATAGACATCCACTGAAAAATGACGAAAACTACTGAGGAAGCAGGATACGATCTTGTTCAGGCAAGTCTCACATATAACACATTAAACACGTTTTTCTATTTTTAATATTTAATAATTCAAAATTAGGTCTATTTAATTTTTTGTAAATAATTAGAATTATAAGTATACAAACACCTATTTTGTTTACAAATAGCTATTAAATATATTTTTTAAATCTCCTTAATCTCCTTCTCCTTTCTCCAAAATATTTGGGGATGACCACCCTTTAAAAATATATTTTTTAAATATTTATTAAAAATCCTAGGTTGAAAACATTTTTACAATACAATAGATATTTTTTTAATTAACTTTTGATTATTGAACAAAATTTAAATAATATTAGCTTACACATTTTTACCATACAATTGCCTCTTACAGTTAAAAGTTTTTATTATCTACTTAACATAAATTTATAATTTATGTGTTAAAGATAAGGTTATATACGATTTTTCATTTTTTCACTAGGTACATCAAAGTATTAAAATTCAACTTAAATTATTTTAAAACTAAACATTAAATTTTCAATGATGTTTTTTTTTTTGTCTGAGTACAATCAGTAAATCATACTATAATAAAACTGAATGACTGAATGAGGCCAAATGAGGCCACATTTTTGGAATTAACTAGGATTTAGAAATTAAAAAAAATATCTGGGTTCAAAATATTTAAAAATGTGTAAAGTTGTTGCTGATCTATCTATAGTAATATGTACATTTATTTAACTGTTATGTTTTTAATGCAGGTATAAATAAGTTTTTTATTTTAATTTCGATTGTTGAAAGTTAAATTTCTATTATTCCAAAATCCTAATGAAAACTAATTTTTCCTTATTTATTTCATCGAAAAACCAATAAAATGTTAATTTATTATTTACATTTAAGCATTGATTATTAATTTGATTTTTTAATTAATAGCATTTTAGTAGAATTAACGACATTCTAATGTTTGAATATATCTTTGTATTTTGTAGGCTTTACTCAAGTTCAATGACGGTTCTCATGGTGGTAGAGAACGCATGGTTCATAAGCCAGCTTGGAAAATGCTTTTTTTGATGCTGAAATATCTGAACTGTTACCCAGAATTCAGTAAGTGAGCCAAAATGTATAAGTTCATTGGAGTACTAAAGTCTAAAATAGATTCAAAAAAGTATTTTAAGTTTGATAGACATTAAAACCACAATAAATAGATGTGCATTTAAATTTATATTCAGCCATTTATCTATTTATGTGAGTACATTATCAATTAAGTACTTTTTTTAAATATGAGTGCTGATAATAGAAATTTGATTCACATCACAAGAATAATACAGCACTTTTTACGATGGAATATGATAATAAACTTTATTTTCTTATTTAATTAACTTCAGCATCAATGGTTATTGATTTTAAACATTTATACCGTAAATCTGTGTATAATATCATTGATTATACATTACTAGTAATATATAATAAATTATAATATATATATATACAGTGACGTATCAAGGATTCATTTAACGGAGGTGTTTCAAAATTTATATGTTAAGTGGGAGGATCTGCCCCCTTCCTCTATTACATAAATAAATACCATGTATTTATATAAATTATTATACTAATGAAAATGATTATATTAAGACAGTGTATGTAAAATCGACAAGTTGTATAGAACGTTTATTCAAATTATACTGTAAGTTTGTAATTTAATGAAATACCATAGAATATGTTCGATGGGGGGTGTTCTAATACCCATATCACCCCCTAAATACGTCCCTGTATATATATATATATATATATATATATAGTTAATATTGGTTGGATATTTTAATAAAAGTAAAGTGATGTTTGGGCTGAAAGATATTAAAAATATTTTATCTTATATATGTAGTACACAATGTAGTGCTTCTCATAAGTTGTAAGTATTATTGTAGCGATCTCACTATTTTATTATATCGGTGCGCTTAAACCTGTCCGAGGTTCCCACACGCTGTTTTCTATCAACAGATAATACGAGTGCACGATAACGTTTGTATTAATGTAGTATGTCGGCCAGTAATTGTTTTTTTCATTCTCAGTCACTTCGCGAAAAATCTCAGAGACTGATAGTCGTCGACATCTGTGCTCTCTGCCTCTCTTATAATAAAAATTTATTTTTATTATAATTAGTATTAGTGTGAGACTCGCCATCGATAAGGAATAATCACCTCCAACAATCGTCTCCGGGTGGCGATTCCGACGGATATGTACAGAATACAAATGCGGTGAAGTGAAACGTGTACATACTTAAACTTTATTAACTAAATTATTACTAACGAATTAATCATTCCATTTTCCATTTTCTTTTGTCTTTATTATATTGTATATTTATATCAGTTTGTTCTTTAAATGATCGGATGATCACATAGTTGTTTTTTTTATGAATATTGCGCGTTGCACGTATGCTGTACACGCATTAATTTATTTTTAATCTCATCTTGTTTTAATTTATCTTGTTTAGTTTTTTTTTCCTTTCTTAATTCAAGTCTTATGCACACAAGCTTTTTCGACATCAACTCAACAAAATCAATTTTCTCTTTCCTTGCAATTCTTGTTCTTTCTTTTATTACCTACTTTTTTTTGTCCTCTCCTAGACAAATATGCTAAAAAATAAAAACTCTATTAGCTTCGACAAATTGTCTCAGCCATAGGTTGGCGATCCTTCCTATATGTGTCCGTCGCACAGTGCTCGTGAACCCAGAGGACCAAGACGTCGCACTATATACAATACAAACGGTTTATCTATTGATTATATTTTGTGTAAATTTAATATACACGTTTATTATTTATTATTCTTATAAAGTAATAAAGGATCATCAATTAAGTCAGTTGGATAACAGAATAAATACTGTTTTAGTTTTTAATTTAATATAATATAATATTGACTGTATAAGTTATTACCAGGGGTGGCCAAATTGCGGCTCGCGAGCCTCATACGGCCCTCGTCATAGTCGTATGTGGCTCGCGGTCTTATTTACAAAAACCAAAATATTTAAATTTTTTTATATACATTTATAAAAAAAAAAAAATTATTGCATAGATATAAGGCTATAGTGTGCAGATTAATAAACATAAAAAAAAATTAATTTATAAAAATAATCTAGTAGCTCTTAGTAATTCTGTGAGATAATCATTAGTCAAATTTTAACGATATTTTGACTTAATTTTATATATAAATATATGTTTATCGACTGTTAGCTTTCTTAATTACTTTTGTAGTATAAAAGTACCGATTAGGTAATTTAACTCTTAATATAATCTTATTAATACATGTGGCTCGTGTACATAGTCATTTTGGCCACTCTACGATTTGAAAAGCGTTTCTATGGATAATAATATTTATTGAAAACCATAAAAAAAATACGATACAAATTTAACACAAATTCTTTTTTAAGTAAACAAAATTATTAATTTTTATTTTTTTAACATAAATTTCTACCATTAAAAATTTTTAACAAATACGATAATGGACTTATGGAGATCATTGCATTTAGATGGGTCCGGTCATAGACACATTATAGGTACCAATTGTGACACATACTGCCGTCTATGTGGTGAGAAGTCCAAAAATAATATCAAACAGCCAAGGAACAAGTGTGATCAGTCAATCATCCACAAGTCAAACAATACGGTCTACACCAAAGAACGAAGTTTTGGTGTTTGCATGTGCGGATCCTGTATGAAACAGAGGAAAAAGACGAATGACCGGGTACGTAGTAAAATACCGCAACGGTGCGGTCCTAAGCCAGCCAAGATTGACGAATCAGTTCGACTCGAGAAGGCGAAGGATCCTGTTAAGCATGACCAACCATCGCAAGGTTGCAGACACGATGTTCCAGGGACGGTTATGAAGTCAATGAATAAGGTGAAAGTGGAAGAACCGTACCGGGAGGTGGACAGCCTTAAAATGGATAGATTACAGCTCGAACAGCGACTGAAGTGGGTGGAGGAATCTCTGAAACAGTTACAAGACGAACGAGATGAACTATTACCGCGAATAGAGCACAAGAAAAAGGAAGAATCTGAAAAGCAAGCTAGAGCGTCCGAGTTGATATTCCGTAATGAACAGAAAATTACAACTGGGCAGGTTCAGAAGTCACCACCAACACTGATCAATCGTGTCAATAGCAATACCAAAACATTGAACGAACAGTACCCTGATGCACTTACTACAGGTGGCTCTTGCAACAAAGAACGATGCAATTGTCGATTATTCACTACCGCACTCGAATCCACGCAACCCAGGAAACCTTACATCACTGCGAACCGAACTCTACTGGAATTACCACTGTCCTACATCGAATACGATACTAGTATTACAGCCGCTGACTTGGAATTGGACTGCGAAAAACCGCAGTTCGAGGTGACGTCTCGTATACTTGATTCGCGACCTAAAAAATCCCTTACAACTGAAGCGCCGGAAAAGTCTTGCTCGACTGCAATTTCGGTCCAATCACAACGTGGGCTATCGATCCTTGACCGTCTCGGACTGTCGGAGAAGAATAGTTCCGGAGCTCAGATTCCGACTGATATTCCACAGACCGGATACGATCCGTTGCCCTCGTCGTCGTTCCACTGCAGCGAGTGGTCCGACCATTCCAGTATAGAAGAGTTCTGCGGCCCGATGCCCGCCAGCATGGAAAAGCCGTACGACGTGAATGATTGTGTCAGCGAAGTGTGCGGATACGTGCCATCTAAAGCTAAGCGTTCACAGAGTAACGCGACTGTAAGCAAGAAAAACGGATGGTGAAATGACCCGATGCTTACAAGATGTCTGCAAAACGAAGACAAGGATGTATACACTTGGGGCAAATTTGATGGAAAAATTAGATAGGACTAGATACAACAACAGCAGTTTTAACCAAATACCAAAATAAAATTTACAAAATTTCCAAACAGTACAAAAGAAAAAACGATGGTTTAACCGAATTTTACCAAATTTTTCCAAACCGTAATCAACATTGAATATTCAAATAATCTCGACTAAATATGGTGTTCAGCAACATTTTTATGTAATGTTTACGATGCAATATCATCTTAATGGGAGCGCTTCACTACTATCTTAACTACTTCAAGAACGTTTGTGTGTATCATCTCTGCTTATTTGGAATACAATTGTTCAGTATGACTATTGTTAGTGGGGTCCACTAATCAGGTGCATACATACATAGGTTGTCCGGTAAATAAGGTACAAAAATATACTGAATAATGAAAAATTTATTTATTACTTTCACTTTTCAAATTGATGCATTTTTGCCAATGATGAAGTAATTTGAAAATGGCATCTCAAAAATATGCAAATATGCAACATATTTTCCATCGAAGTACCCGATAACTGCGTTCATGACGCAACATCAATTTTTATCAAAAAATGAAAAAATAAATGCTGACCGATTTATCGATACGTTAGGAAAATGTATAGAAAAAATTAGTTTCAAGAGAAGAAGGCAATTATACTTAAGATGTAAATGCAACCTCACATTCAACGGGAAAAACCAAAGCCTGGCTGGAAAAATACAACTGAGAATTATTGCAGCATACACCATATAATTTTGATCTGGCGCCTCCAGATATTTTTTGTTTGATTCGTTAAAAAAACATTTAGGAAGAACTCATTTTCAATATGAGGAGGAGATTATGGCGTTCATAACGAACGCAGTTATAGGGTACTTTGATGGAAAATGTACTGCGTATTACAGAGATGGCATTTTCAAGTTACTCCATCGTTTAGAAAAATACATACATTTGAATGGTAACTATGTAGACAAATAGTAAAATATATATTATTTATCATGTAAAAGTTCTAAAGTAATAAATTAATTTTTCATTATTTAGGTTACTTTTGAACTTTATATATCGGACAGTCTACCTATTAACAAGTAGGCAAACGTAGTTTAAGAAATAAACATCATAGTCTTGCTCATTTAATGAATATATATTTCAACGAGATTGACGAGTCTTGGAGTCCCGTGTCTTTAAATATTAATACTGAATCAAGTATAAATATAGTCTAGCTAGCCATATCCTAGAGATTCCTCTCGATAACTCTATTATGAGAGGGTTCGTTGCCCGATTCCTTCGCAAAATGTAACGTGGCTATTCGCTATTCTTGATACGAAAGCGAATGTCCGCCGACGGAGTTGTCCAATGAAATCCCTAGGACAGGGATGGCAAACCTTTTGAACACTGCGTGCCTAAAATTACCCTTTTTTTTTATGGAGCGTGCCATGAAAAAAATATTAAAAATATTATATTTTGTTATATTATAATTTGATTGTATAATTAATGTATTAGTATTAAAAGGTTAATTTAGATACATAATAATAATAATAATAATAATTACAATAATATTGCTTTATTAAATATTTATATTAAATTATATGTCCTATAATATTATATATTATATAATATATAATAGTAAAAATTTTCGCGTACCATCTCGAGCACGCATGCCATGGATTTGCAATTACTGCCCTAGGATATAGTTGACTAGACTATCTCTGTACTAGATAATCTAAAATTCTCTAACATTTATAGCCCTGAATGGGACTCTAGTGCAATCGTCAGGTACGTAAAATAAAAATTTATCAAATGAGAGAAATCCAATAGTTTTTATTACTGAAAGTATAAATGTTAATTAAACGCACTAATTAGAGGGCCATCACGCTGAATAATAAGATAGGTAATCCGAATAGCAGTAAGAAATTATACACATGAACGCTATACAAAAGATACTAATAAGGTTCTTGCAATAAGATGATAATATGTTAATTGATATTATCTGCGTAATAATTGACCATTTAAGTCATAAACTGAAAAACCATATTATTGACATGAAAAAATAAAAAGTTGAATAATTGACTGACAAAATTTATTTTTATTATTTCCTCGACTAAGAGACGATTAATTTTGTCAAATATGTTTCAGTTCCCTTACAATAGTATAGTCTATTCAGAATAAGAGTGCCCAGTCACTTGGGCGAAAACTAGATTTTATTACGCATATGTCCTTTCCACTAGGAACGTTGTAGTATGCCGACGCGTTCGATACTGTTATATGCTATTACCACACTCTTCTCGTAACACCAAGCTATAGTTCTATTTTGAATAATAAGGTTTTTTTTTTAAATAATAATCTATATACAAGGCAGCAGTCACCGATTTTAATAAACAACGACGGCGGTCAAATAATGGCAACGAATCATCGAGCGTCTAGATATTGATGGGTGTCCGACCGTTATTGGCTTCTCGGAAAACATGCGCGAGTTTGGGCACTCTTAATCTGAACAGACTATAGTAGTTACCGCCAAATGAATAAATAATTATTTAATATTCTGAGTAATACTGTAGTCAGTGTTTATATTAGAATTACTATTCCTGGAGGAGGCATGTAGGATTCAGTATGCCATAGGAGTAAATAATTAATAAATAAATAAATTTTTGTAATAATTGTACCTTTATAATACAAAAATCAATAAAAGTTATGTCAATAAAAAAAAATTAAACATAACAATTTGTCCCGGTTTTTGCCAAGTATAATAAATAAATAAATAAATTTATTGTCAAAATATTAAATCCAAATGAATGAGTAAAATTGCATAAATTATATTATTATTATTTTTTTTTTTTTTTTTTAATTATATAGTTCCTAGCTTTCGCTATCTAAATTTAGGGTATAAACAATTTTTTTTTGTAATATGCGATTATGATATATTACAAATGAATGAATAAATAATATTATTACATTGTCCCCAGTCATAAGTTTTTAACTCACAATAATAATATTTATGTTCACAGTTTATATATATTACAGTTTTACAGTTCTCCTCCCCCTTTTGTTGCTGTTGACCGACACTTGGTTCTCTTCATAATTATATTAAAATAATACCATCAAAAATTTCAAATGTTCACAGCTATTATTAAAATTAATGTAATATGAATCCAATAAAATTAATTGTACCTAGGTTTAACCTAAAATTGCACATTACTTTAAGTTATGATTTGACATGATGCATAACAATTACAGGTTTAACGTCATTCAGTAAAAAATTTGCCTCAAATAACAAAGATAACTTTTTGCGAAATGTATATCATAAAATCTAATTTTTTAATTTTATTCATTACTAAAAATAAATTCATATTTTCATTTAATTTTATCATAATTTAATCATAATATTTAGTAAGAAAATTAATTATATTTCGTAATAGAAAAAACATTAGGGTTTAAAACATTAAGGTTAGGATTTAAATGATTTAAAAAATAGCAATAAATTAAATAAAAAATGCAAAAATACTTTAGAAATTATAAAAAATATAAAAATGCATTAAAAATGTATTAATTGTATTTTATAAATTATATTATAAAAATCACATTATCACACATATTTAATTATATTTATTTAACATAATAATAATAATAAAATAGTTATCTATTTGTTTTATATTTACATTTTATTTAAGTTTATTTAAATTTGATCATCGTTGTACTGTTGCAAATGGAAAAATTTCTTTCGGCTATTTTAATTGTGTTATATTTTTGATAAAATATGTAAAATTAAATTTGTCATAAAATGCAAAAAAATGCAAAATTAAAACTACATTAAATTAATCAGCAACAATTATAGTACATTTTCTGCTTACGGACCTACGTGTTGGAGTATAAGAAAAAAAAGATAAATTTGCATCAAAATCCTAGCTCTAATGATAATATAACAACTACAATTTACGACAAAAGTATAAATCATAAATAATTCAAGCTATCTAAAAAAAAAAAGAGATTCAAGGAAAACATATTCATTGGGACTAATATACCACAATATTATATAAAAAATGAATTTTATGGATTTTTAATTATTATACATTACTATTTATTAAATATACCAACATTGTTTGTTAATATAGAGCCCAAAACTATTGTAGGTAGCCCCTGAAATACAAACTTGCGCACGCTTATAAGTATATAGGACAATGGATTAACGATACCACACTTTCACAACTTAATAAAATATAAAAAAAAAATTTTCTTAAACAACATAACACGTAAGTGTTGTAAAATATTTTAGGCTAATAAACTATGCATAGAATCCTCAATAAAAAAAATTTAAAGATTTTTTTTATTTTTTTATTTAAACTTAGTTAATACAATTAGTTCCAACAATTATTTAATATAATGTAATAGTTGTTTACAAAAAGAAAAAAAATATACGAGAAGTAACAATATACAATTAAATTAAAAAGTTATATAGTTAAAGAAATATAATATTATTTTATTGAATTGAGAAAATGTTTACAGTATCGAAAGGGATATTGGAGATATTCAAAAGGGTCAGTAGGTGGTCATTATGTGTAGATAGACTGGGACAGATGAATAGTAAGTGGCTGATATTATAGACCATTGGATAATTGTGCAGTGCGTAGAGTTTAAAGGAATTCTTGTGTGGCCAAACTGGAAACGGGAGAACGATATAATGCATTTCCTAGAGAGGTTGAGGTTGTGGAATTGTGGAAATAGAGTAGAGTTGGAATGGTTGGATATATATTTCTAAACCCGGTGGCAAAATAAGGAGGGAGTGAACCCCAGTATTTGAGCCAAAGATAAAAAAAAAATTTAAACTATCTTAAAAACTAAAAATATTTTCTTGAATACTCACAATTTGCATTTTACAATAATTTATTCTATTATAATGATGTATCATTCCTTAACGCATTTATACAATCTTTTTTCTGAATACATGCTATTTCCATAATATTTTCTCGCTTATTGAATAATAATAATATAAATCGTAATAAGGTATTACGATTCCTTTGATTTTATTCTTACAATGTATTTGGTTATTTTAAATGATTTTCAAAATAAAAATAATTAAAATACCATGTACTTGTTATGTTATGAATATTTTGGTTATAGTTGCGAGTATTTTTCTTCTAAATTAACTTATAGGGATGTATGAAACACCAGTTCTACGGAATTAGATTTCATTAACTATACTTTTATTAATAAATGAAAACCAACACATACGATCCGTTTAGTTTGTGACACTCAATACAGTCACTAATAAAATATTTTAATTTTTTTAACAGCTCCCTTACCATATCAACTGACTCCAATAATATTGCACATTCCACCTGAATATCATCAAATCATCCTTAAGGATCCGATGGTCATTAGAAGACGTTATGTAGAATTATTGCCAATCAAATATGGCTATCGAGAATTTTGGAGAAATCACATAAATCGTTCAAGGGCACTACCTTATCAATATTTATTGTGGGAAGGTGGTTTCGTATTAATTGTGTTTTGTTTTTATGCAATTGGTAAGTAAAATTAGTTATAATTTCTAAGCTCCCTTCGCTGATAACTTATAATATTTAGTTTTTCATGATTATACTCAACAACCAAATACTTAACAAATGTTTCAAATTTTAAACATACAATTTATATATCATTTGCATGTGTAAAATGTCACTATTTCAAAACCATGCAATACCTAAAAAATTTAAAGGTGGAGTGATCTGTTCGAAAATGTTATAGCCGAAAGTCTAGTGATCGAAAAGTCATCCTTTCAAACTCATTTTTGATCGAAAAATCTAATATCGAAAATTCAAGTGATCGAAATGTTATGTAATCAAAATATATTATGGTCAAAAAATATATATTTTGAGATAATTATTGCCGTCAGTTTTACATACCATATCTTTTTATTTATGTATAAAATTATTTATATTTAATGACATTCCTCCATGAATGTTAGGAACAATATCAATTTTCATATTAAGAGGATTCAACGTACCGATTGATCTATTGATGCGATAAAGATTTTGAAAACTGATTTAAATTCGTCATAAAGTCTTCTTTAAATCGATTTCCCTCCTTTTTTAATTTTGTCCCCCCAAAATTTCACAAAATAGGATTAAACAAATTAGAAACATAAAAATTAATTTTTGGGTATGTTTAGTACAAAATTTAAAAAATGTGAAAAATTTGATCTTAAGAAGACTTTATGACAAATTCAAATCAATTTTCAAAATCCTTATCACCTTAAATTGATCGATCGATACGTTAGAAATAGAAAACGTTTAAATCCCTATATTGCGTGTGTGATAGAAAGCGAAAGAAAATCTTGGCTTGCAATCCCTTTAAAATATGAACAATTTAAAAATAGAAACTAAAAACATTATTTAAACTAATGTTGAACAGTCGATAAACATTGTAAGTACCTACTACAATAAACCTAAATACGGGTTACTTACATACGGTTATATACAAATATTAGATAAAGTAATCAAAAATATAATGATTTTCCTTATTTCGACCAAAAAAACCCATTCGGCCACAAAACTTTTCGACCATTTTAATAAAATGTGTACTACAACTTTTAACGATCACTAAACTATCGACCTAATGGCTTTCGACCAAATAACTCGCACCAATAATTTAAAGATTGATTGTTATTTATCAGGGGCGGATCCAGAGTCGTAGAACTGTGGGTCAAGCCATTTCAAGAGGACATTTATTCGGGATGAAACTGAATTAGAAATTAATACCTTATAAAAAAAAAAAAAACACAATATGCTCATAAAAGTGTATAAATATATTTATATTATATTTTAGAATTTGTGATACCACCGATAATGACTTATTTACGATTAATAAATATAATCTAATTTTATCTGCGCAACAAACGTACGGAATAAAATATGATTTACTTAACTTTTTACTAAAACGATATAATTTAAAATATAAATTATGAATTGAAAAATTTTAAATTTTGATTATACATGGCATTCATTTTTCAAGTAACTACGATGGGCCAACTGTCCAAGAGTCCAAATTAAGGTCTAAAAAAAGAAAAAAATTTTCAAGAGGCCAATTTTGTCAACAAATATTAACTGTGGGTCAGTTGACTCCCTGAACCCCCCCCCCTAGATCCGTCCCTGCTATTTATACCAAAAATGAATATGAAAATAAATTTGTGTCATTATATTGATATGTAATATTTATTATTACATTTAAGTTTATTATACTGCAATTCATATAGTATAATTATATAATAATTAGGCACAATATAATTCTTTAAGTTTAAGCATTTAAAATTTAACTTTCTAAGAATTTAAGAATAAAATGCAAGATTTTATTGGAATTAATAAAAAAGTTTTTAAAATGTGTTTAATTTTATTCTTAACATCAAATTATAGGGGATAATGTTGTACGTGTGGTGAACATTACCATTCATTTTTCAAAAAAAGATGTAAAACCTGAGCCTTTATGCTATCAAGATAAGCTCATGCTTGAAGAGGTAAACCTTAATAATTTAAACATTGAAAGTTAATATTATTATAAATTATGTATACTTGTATTACTTATATGTATACTTGCAGTGTTATCCCCTGGATACGTTCAACCTAGGATTTGCATTACCCAAACCAGTATCGATTAATACAAACAGGTTATTGTATACACCTATGTATTTATTCAGTTTGAGCTCCATAAATGCGCTCTGGAAATCAAGTATTAATTAAGTTTTACTAATTAAAGGTGGACGATTCTACGAGAGCTGAAAGAATGTAATGACAAAAAAGGTAACGAACTGTTTCTGTTATCGTTAACGCCATTAATGAACGAATTGTCTGACCAAGTCCTTATGGATACAAGACGCAAGATATTAGAATTATTAGAAGATGCTATGAGTTGGAAAAGAAATGTTGACCATTAAAGAAGTAAAATATTTTATAAAAATAAATTAAAGAATTACAATTTAATGATATGTATTTTTAAACCATATTTTGTTATAATTTAAAAATTAAATTAAATATATTTGTTGTTAGCGCTATTTATGTTTTAACATAAGTGTATTTTATTTTATTTGTATAAAACGTTCCCGTTGTATTTTTGCTCATTTTATGTATCTCATGCAATGTAATTTTATGTTGGTTCTTACCTATATGCTGCATATTGTATTTTTGATTTAAAAGATATATATTTTTGTTATTTTCATCGGTAAAAAAACTATCTTAAAAATAAATAGAATGCGTAACTTTCAAACGTCACATCATAAGTGTATCATCTGCCCATTCTGAACTTAAAATATTGTTTCCATTAATACTAAAGAATAAAAACTATTATAATTGTTCAGTATCACGAAACACTTTCGTAATAATTATAATAGTTATATAAAAAAAAAGTTATATAAGAATCAGACGATATATATCCCCTATACCAGCGTATTTATTACGAATATTATTCCATTCAGTCACTAATCGAACGTAGACGAATTACGAAGACGTATTCGAGATACCGACTACTGTCTTTTATTAATCCTTAATGGAATTTTGTTGTGAGTTTAATTGAATGGTATATATAGAAGTGCAATACAAATATCAAGAACAATAAAAAATAAACAAATAAATAAAGCAATAAAGTTGTACTTTTCTTTTCCTAATTCGACAATAATTATTTCCATAATGAATACCGTGAATTTTCATTCGTGAACGTTTTCAACTATGTCTCGAAAATATTTTTCCCTCGAGGAAAAAATCACGATTTTGAACAAAATGAAGTCTCTTTCTCCAGGTACCTAACGTAAGATCATTGAAAAATAATTCGTCCTGTGATAATATTTTTTCATTATTATCCTGTATATTTATTTATATATTCATTTAATTTAACATTTATTTCCCAATTTTATAGCTTACATGTGCAAAATTAAAAATTTTCGATTTAAAAATGTTGGTTAGTTATTTTTGAACTAAATTCAGTTTATTTGGCCAACCGTTTAATGTGAGCAAATGGGTTTGGTCCCAGCATGTCTACATTTAGCGAAGTCCACTGTAGTTTATTGCCTTTGATTGAAATAAAAGATATGTCTGTACAATCAAATCCTGAGGACATTATTGATGATCAAAAACTCAACCTAAGACAATATAGTGTTATGATCAATTATAGTTTTTTATTGAATGTTGTTGTTTTTTTATACGACTATTTTATTATTTAAACAAATAAAAACCTTATCTACATAATTAATATTATTATTAAAATAATTGTATGTGTTTTATTTTTTATTTCGTAATTTAATATGCCTATATGCAGTGGCATGACGACAAGATTATTTGCAAGAAACAAACATGCATTATTGATACTCGCCCACCCATTAATAATGGATATTGTCTATTTATATTTAATAGAATGTCTTCATTTCTAAAAGTAAGTAATAACTGTACAACTGATACCTGACTAACCAACTAACCTGATTTAGATAACTATACCTGATAATAATTTATAGTACGAAAAAATATAGGAACAAATATTGGTGATAGGGAGTACCCACCACCCCTTCAATATTTGATTAGGGCGATTTCCCGTTTTTGACCCATATTCGCCACACTTCTGCTTTCATTTTTATTATTTGAAAAAACAATGATAGCGATGAAAAAACAGATTTTTTTTTATAATTATTAATAATTATTAAACAAAACCGTTTGTAAAACATTTAAGTATAATTTTTTACCAAATTTTTAAAAATATAATTTAACATACAGTAGGTGCAAGTGATATTCTGCATACCCTAAAAAATAGGTCCGCGCGTACCTATGGGTTACATAACACGATAATATATGAATGAGTTATCTGCAAATTAATAATTTCCTGTTAGCAGTAACTCGATATCTGACAATTTGCGATCTAAATGGATATATGTATAAGAATATAGGTAAAATCTTAGATACCTATTTAAAATCTGTGACATTAATTTCTACTTAATCGCGACGTGTAAATAAATTCTATATTAAAATATAAGTATTACAGAATTGTAATTGAAAAGTTATAGTGCCACGTGTATGAATAATTTATGAAAAATCATGAGTATGTAAATGTACGTTACATTTGAAATGAAGGTATAATCTACATAGTATTATAGCAAATGTCGCACATAATATTATAATATTATATTATAGGTCTTACATTAGATAGCGATCGTTGATGTTATATATTAATGTAAATTGATAATAAAACACTCTAATATATACGTATTTGCTTATTTATATTCAAGTTTTAAACATTGATTAAGTATTTTTGATTAAATAATAACAAATTTAATCTGTGTTTTAAACATTCTACAAATTACATTTTATAAAAAATACAATCTACAAAGGTAATCGATAAATAAAAGTATTCATATATTGTTATGAAACTTTTGATTAACGAATTGTCTTGCATAATTTCAACATTTTTTCACTTCAGTACAATTGTAATTAATATAAGTTCATACATTTAAAAAATATTTGATGATTATAAATATTTTAATGTTTACTATAGTGTATGTGTAAATATATAACTACGCTATTGACGTATGTTGTGAGTACTTTAAACCCAACACATGAGTAATTAAAACTAAACAATAAATCACATTTCATTAAATAATAGCCTTTAGTACATCAACCTAATATAATAAAGCAATTATTATTATTATAAACATAATTATTTTAAAAGTTTATACAATAAATTGATTGGGTATAATATAAGTAACGTACATAATTATAATTATGTTATGAATTTTAGTTTTATATTTTATATTTTTTTAAAAAAATATAGATTATCTATAAAATAATATAATATATATTAAATTATTAATTAGATATATGGAATTAAAAATGTGGACAATATTTCAATATTAAGTTATAAAACCTAAATGAAAAATACACAACTAAAAATCAAATCTATGAAGATAAAATTATGAATACAATTAATATCCACTTCGTATCGTTAAAGATTTTGAGTCAAAACCTTATTTTAATATTATTTCACTGATTACGATAAAACTAATTTTGAGACTTATGTTGCGACAGTGTATATTATATAAATAAAGCATTATATAACCATTATACTATTAAAAAGTAACTTTTAAGTAAACAAATTATTTAATTTGTAGGCTCTCTATATTTATGTCATTTGTTTTATGAAATAGTCATGTGAAGTTGTCGAGTTCATCTTTCGAAACGTATTTGATTTTTTTTTGTGTGTTTGAAATCAACCAATTTAATTTACTGTTCCCTAGGGGGGCTTCTACGGGTTTCGAAAAAAATCATTACGAGTTGTGCTAAAAAAATAATCATTTTTATCAATTGAAAGCGAAAAAATAACATGGATAACGAGATACTGCCACGTTTATGTCTAGCGTTACTGTAAAATAAAGATTATATAAATTGAAAACCATTTATGATTATCGCAAATGTTGCAAGTTAGAATTAAAAATGTGTGCAGACAATATAAAATACATTAAAAAAAAAAAAAAAAAATGTATTGGTATATTATTTTAAGTTAAAACTTACAAACGGTAACAATTATACTTTTTTTATTTTAATTATTCTACAATCGTGTAAAAAATCTTTGCAAATAATCCATGTGACGTAAATACATCTATATGATATATATTTCAATACATTTTAATAAATAACATCCATTTAGCATTCGGTACACGAAACAAGGTTCTGTGAATATAATTAACGAGAGGAAACTCTGTTAAGTATATAAATTTTCCGGTGAATGTAACAAACTCTGGTCAACCGAATTCATATTGATTAGTTTATTCATATAATTCCATGGAAACCGCTAGAAAATGATTTCTTACTAGTGGTGTGAAAAATCCGGATTTATCGAAGTTCGAATATCCGGATTCATGAAATTCGAAATCCGTAATCCGGATTCGGAGAAAATTCCGGATTTCGGAATTAAAATTCGGATTTTACTCGAAATTCGTATTTCGGATTTTGAAACATTGAATTAATATATTTTATGGATTCCTTATATTAAAGCCTTGATAAATACACATTTTTTTTTTTAATGAATTAATATATTTATAGAAAAACTTTTAAAGCAAAAATATAACAACAACAATTATCAATATTGCAATAACGTGTAGATATTACGACCTAAACTCAATTTATACATGAAATTAGTAACAACATTTATAAGTATCAGAATAATTTATCCAAAAAGACACAATAAATAATACCTAAATATACTTTGTTTAACTAACAGAAAAGTACAAGTAATAATAAAAATGTATACTTAATTACAAATATAATAATTTAAGTTTGAACAATTATGATGAACAACGTTCAGAAAACTTGCTTTAGAATACAGAAATCCACAATGTGAAACCCAAATATTCGGATTTTACAACTGAAAATCCAAAATCCGAAATCCGGATTTTTCGGATTTTTGGAGAATCCGGATTTATTTCACACCACTATTTCTTACTAGTGTTCCAAACAATACAATTAATAACAAATACATATACTAATTGTATAATATAATACATGCACAAATGCATGTAACTAAACTAGCACAAACATTTCAATGGACAGGTTTGAATATAAATTATTATCAGTTACTAACAAAATGAAAATTCAAGGGATTTCTATACATTTAAAACCAATCATAGCAAATATTGTATGCCGCGTAGTGACGAGCTGTCTACGCAAACAAACCATGCGATAATTATTTTGTTTTTTGTCAGACCTATAGGTTAGATTATACTTATAAGTGTTATTTACTGACGAATGCGTTATCTCCCCTAGTATTATATTCGAACTCTGTGAACGTTATGTAATCGGTATATTGTGTATATATACTATGAATGAATTTATGCCAAAAAAATACCGGTAGAATTATCATACAATGAAAATGTGCACACATAATAGTCGTAAACACAGTTATAACAATAAATTATATTATAATCATATACAGCGAAATTTGTTTTGTTGGTAGGTGCGAAATTCACGTCAAACATTAAAAGAGGGAAAAAAGCGTCCGTCCCATTTAATATTTAAATAATACCTAAGTACCTATACAATATTACAATATTAAATTACATAATATTCGGTTATCGCTCATTGCATTTTATCACTATGAAGCGTTAGTGTAGTTAGGAGTAGTGTGGTGCAGGGCCGTTGCCAGGGAAGAGGGGACAATGGGACCATTTCGCCCTAAGTTCTAATCTCTGAATATTTAAAAGGAACCCCTTAAAGTCCAGATTGTTTAAAAATACTAAACGTTAAATATTAGAGATAATTGACAATAATATATTATTTCAAAATTATTTTTTCTTTATGAAATATCAATGCATTTAATTCAATTAAATAAAATAAAATGTATATTTAAGCACTATTATACAGACTACATATTCAGTTATTTTAATTTTTAAATAGTTATTACTGTAATTTATTATAGTAAAAAATCCTTAAAATGCTTGGGCAGTTCTGACGAGGTGTAATACCTTTGTTATACGTAGATGAATGATGGAGAAGAGTGCCAGGTTGTGAAGTGGTGTTACCCTTTTGATCGATTAGGGTAGGGTTGTCAGGGTTTGGCTGTGACACTGCCGGTTTTCACTCTTCTGTCCCGATATCTTTCGATTCCCGACCGGGATATAAAATAGTACCGGCTTCTAAGAATCATTCCCGACTTCTTACCTAGCGTGAATAAAAATAATCCATTACTTATTGTGTTGACCTAGTTACTAATTTTTATTATTTATTATCGAGATTTTATTTTTAACTTATATTTTGTATCAAATATTATTCTTGGTATCATCGGTCAGTCACCTTTTCGATGTCGACCAAGTCGAAAATTAATTGTTGTTATTTACCCCTTGTGTGGTTTCGTTCGCTCGAACATTGGTAGTCTGTGTTGCACGTTTAATTGTAAATATGTTTTAAATAAAGTGATTCTCATTGTTAGGTATTTTTATTTATATTCATTTGTTTTTCGTATTGTAAATCTGTCCTCTCCTAGTCTATATGCCACCTACAGTTAAACACTATGGCTCCAAAACAATTATGCAATTTCACAGATAAATTACAAAAATAATTTCCATTCATAAAAAAAGATGAAACCAATAATAATCTTGATATCTAATGTACTGTATGTTTGAGTGCATTTTCATTTTTCAGTCATGGCGGTAAAACTTTTCTTTTTTGTTCAATCCGTGGTTGATTTGAAACATTTCTTCTCCATTCTTCACGGTCACTCGCTATTTCTTTTAATGTCCTATAGCTTTCGACTCCTGCATCTCTCTTGATTTTTCCGATAAATGAATTGTGAGGTCGCCCAGGTGGTCTTTTTCCTTCTATCATGTTCTCTATTATTGTGATGTGCAGTTCTTCTAGATGCCTTTATGTATGCTCCACTATTTTTCATTTTTCCATTATTGTCAATCTTTAAGATAAATAAATGGTAGTGAAACATACAATACAAATGTTTGCCTTGCACCGTCTGTAATAAGTGTTTGCAATTCCCAAAGGAGGTACGCCTCACAGTTTGGGAACCACTGCCCTATAGGTTTTCGTTCTCATGATCAAAATCTAACGAATATAAATACAAATATTTTGAAAAATTGAGATATGTGTTGTTAACGATCACATGCACGAACTCAATGATAATTCGATAAAATTAGCTTTAGAAAACTAAAAAACCAAAATAAATTAAAATTTGTAGTAGAATACGAACGTAGCGAAAAAAAAATGTTTGTAATATAATTACCTAATTTTTGAATCCCACTCCAATATTATGTTGTATAGGGGCCCAATGTAAATGTTTTGCCGGAAGTCATGAACCGACACTGAATTTAACATTCATTTTTTCAAAAGCCATCTTGTATTGTTTTCAATTCATCAGGAAAATAAGCCTAAAATATTCACCTAATATATAGCTCAAATTTAAAAATAAATCGAAATTAAAGCACACCTAGAATATGTGATTAGAAATAAAACAGCTCATACAATGAAATCGAAAAACTAAGATTTGACATCCGAGATGGTTTAAAAAATTAAATAATTACTATTCATCGATAAATCCCCATGACAGTGTAACTAAAAGCGACGAAAAAAAAACGTAGCTATTTACTAGTAATTCCTGAACGGCGAATATATTTTTACACGTTCACGAAAAATAAATTTACCGTGCCGAGGCAGTTTGTTTTAGTTATCGGGTTGATCTAAAAAAATTCTCACCAGGTAATGATCGAAATAGAGCGACGCGTGCAACGTAAAATGACAATAATAATAATAAAAATAATAAGACGACAAGACGACGGTAATCGTAATAATAGTTTCGGATAATAACCCGGAGAGGGCGGTCGCGGGAGAGGGGCACCACCGGGTTATAATGAATAATTGTTATTTCGGAGGTCTCCAAGGTCGATGACGGCAGCGGTCGCGGCAACAGAGCAGTGCTGGTGGAGCCCCTCTCGCGCACGGCGGCGGCGACGGCTGTCGGTGCAACGTTGCCGCGCTGTGCGACCGGTAGGGTGCGCGGTGACGGAGGGAAAAGCGGTGGTGTTGGAGGTCGGACCGACGCACCGCAGGCCGTGCCTCCCCGGTCGCGCGCCGATGCGACGTTGTGCCGCCGCCCGCAGCGCGTACGTGCCCATTGTTGTACGTATAGTAACCGTACGCCGCGGGGCGGTACCGTTGGTCGTCGGCCGCGGCGCGCGCG